TTCGAGTTTTGCATGTTTGCAGTTGAGTGGACCTAGAGCAATAGTTGCTTGAGCGGGACTTGATTGTTGAGCATGTTTTGTGTTTGATTGTTTTGGAGTTTTTGCATGTTTGCAGTTGGAGACGACTAGAGCGATAGTAGCTTGAGTTGGATTTGGCTGTGAGACATGTGGAACAGATGTGTTTTGTTTGCTTTGTTTTTCAGCTTTTTGACTTTTTTTGAGTGTGGAAGATTCTTGGCTGTTCGATGTCTATGTGTAGTCATCTGGAAAGCTTGGTTTGTGGTTTGAACTTGTTTTGTGAGTTTTTGCAAGTTTGGAAACCTGATACTGTCCAATCTCAAGCTGCCTGATCGAACGATCGCACGCCTTTCGCACGCTTTCTTGCTCTTTGATACGCTTTGTGGATCATGGCCGCCGCAACCAGCGCACGTGGCCCAGCTTCGGAACGTGATTCGGTGGTGTTCTTCCCTGGACGTGACCTTTTGACGGTTGGACCCCAGGAGCTGTCGGATTGTCAGTTTTCGAACGAGTTTTCATCCACCTTGATCGAAGGGAGCGCCTTGAATGATTTCCGGGTCGAGACTCGGTGGCATAATGCGGGGTCAAATCAGGAGAGGTTCATTTATCTCCTGAAGCGGTTGATCACCGAGTTGTCTGGTATTGAATCCACCACCGGACAAGATGCCAATGATATCATTCCTTCTGCTCCGTTGGAGGAAGGACTGATATCCTGCTCTGGCAAGAGCTTGGTGGAACTCCGCCAAGAATTGGCGGATTGTGAAACTCGACTATTTCATCTGAGGGCAGGGGCCAGCATGCTCGCATGGAGTTATTTTGAAAAACTCGTCAGCTTGCAGAACTTGGAACCCGATCGATCAGAAACAGGAACAGCAAGCATGAGCGATCCAATGCCGGTTCCATCAGGGGAACTGAAAGTCGAGACACTTTTGGACACTTTGGTGTGGGCGACAAACCGCTTTGGACAGTTGTCGTCCGTTGTCGCCAAGATCCAGGAAGCGGCCAGCCAAATGTCTGAGGCATCCGGAGTTTTGAACCCAAAGGTGGAGGCTCAACAAGCTTCCATGGTCAAGACGTCGGAGGACTGTTGGCATTGGCAGCGCACATAAAAGTGACTGGTGATTCAGTGGGGCCAGCCACTGGTGTTTTGAAGGGAACCGCCAAGAGCATCGAGAATGCCACATGGCAATTATCAGGATCTGGCAAAGTGAGCAACATCTCCATCAAGGAGCACTTGTTAAGTCAAGGCAAATTGGTGGGGGAGACCAGTGTTGTTGCCGGAAAGATCCTGGAGGCCGCCCAGCACACCTATGAGGGGATTGTTGCCATGAACGAGAACCAGAAGGAATGCAATGGCCTATTGAAGGAGTTGGTCGCAGGCCAAAAGTTGGCAATGGAGCGTGTCGCGACTGGTGGAGGACAAGCGTCTTCTGCGGCAGTTCCTCCGATGTCCCCGTCTCATCCGACCCCGGCAGGAGGAGCAGGACATTCGACTGGGATTCCTGCTGCCTTTGGTGGAGTTGGTGGGACAGATCCGGTGCGCCGTATCCGGGGGACGAACCTGCCACAGCCACCGCTTGCGCCGGTTGCGCCAGCAAGTGCTCCAGCTACCCTTGGCACCACGGGCATGGAGCGCGACCGTGCTGTCGCTCCAGGCTTCAAAAGAACGCGATTAGAAAATGGACAATACCCTACTGTCCCGGAGAGCTGGATCCCTGAAGATCCAACGATTTGAGCTGATCTGTTGATCAAGGGGACTGTTGTGATTTTTGAATGGCCATCTTCGCACCCTGGAGGAGTGAAGAAGAAACTCCTACGTCACGCACCACGAAAAGAAATGGCGTTATCTTTTCTGTGTTTACTTGTTTCTTTTGGTCTTCGAGAGAGCCACGAGCACCATGATTGCAACCTTGGCTTGACCTTGACTTGAGGCACGCTTGGATTGAACGTGATATGTCAGGTTGAATTCATGGAGAATTTGATTGGAGGCCATCTTGTTTTGTTTCTTACTGAGTTGAAGGCTTGAAGATTCCTTTTTCAGTGGAAGATGTGGAGATTTGAGAAAGGAAAGAAAGAAAGCAAGAGAAAGCAAGAGTCAGAAAGAAACAGAAAGAGAAAGGAAGATCGGAAAGGCAGGTGGAATTAGACACGTGCAGTGTGGCAAAGGGTTTGCGATCTTAGAGTTTGAGTTTGCTGTGGCAAGACGAGTTCACTTGATTCAGGACGTTTGGAACCCAGTTCATGGCCAGGTAACCTCTAGAGAGTTTCTTGTGATGTCTTGCGCAGTTGCTTGGAGCTCTGTTCATCGCAGGTTTAGCTTTCAGCGAGTTTCTTGCAAGTTCACTTGTGCTTGTTGGCAACCATGTTCATTGCAAGTTTGTGCCTAGGTCATCTTGTGGGGTTTCATCTTTTGCAGTTGAGTCCAACTTTGTGAACTTGTCAGGTCTTGAGGTCGGAGGTTTGCGCGGCAGGGTAACCCTAGATCACCTTTTTGCTTCCTGAGCTGACAGGTAAGTTGTCCTTAAAAGCCTTGTGCTTTTGAGGATCTCGATGATGAGGGTTTACGGGTCATTGAGAGAAGGAATCTTCCCATGAGATTCCATGACCCACCTCTGAGAGATCCTCTTTACACGTTTGTCCTTGGTCGATTGCGTGTTGGTTGAGGGTCGAAGTTGATTCTTTGATGGATCTGGAGTTTGGCTTGGGTTGAGCTCGAGTTTACCTCTGGATTGATGTCATTGAGATCACCGTTGAGGGCAGAAGTTTGGATCTTAGTTGTGATGTCTGATCCTTAGTTGCTCCAAGAAAACGAACAGAAGAAGAGAAGACGACAGAAGAAGAAGGCAGGTAGCCCTAGGCGACCCAAGAAGGGGTGTGAAAAGTAGCGTGCAGCGCACGTGTACAGCGTATGGCTCACCTAGTGCTTGTTTTTTTAAGGGAATTTTCGTTTTTGGAGTGCTTGGGGTTGGAGCTGAGTGGAGGTCTGTGCCCTTTTTGCGTTTGACCTTAGACCACCTTAGCAGGAGGATGTTTGAAGTGGCAACTTGTGGCTAGGAACTGTTTAGAGAACCTTTTGGTAGAGCACGATGTCTTTGGAGACTGTTTGAGATAGCCTTGTGTAGTTTTGTGTAGTTTGGAGATGACTAGGTGTAGTCATGTACTCTTTCAAGAAGAGTGGGTGAGCTTCAGAGAAGCTTAGAGGACTTTTGGAGACAGTCTATGAATGACTGTAACTTTGGCTCAAGGAGCGGGACCGAAAAGGACGCGTTGCTACTGTGTTTTCACAACAAAGCCTGTCGCTTCCTTTGCTCACCATATGAAGAATGAGTTAATCTTGTCAGCCGTGGTGCAGTGTATTCACCTCGAGGGCAAAGATGGTAAAGAAGCAGCGGCGTGCCTGGAAATGACGTACTGAGCGCAAGGGATGAATTCACAGCCCCTAGTCTCACACAGTTTCACCACTCCTTTTGGCTTACTCAGCCATCCTGAGGTACGAACCTTCCCGGCGGCTTTGGTGGGGTTGTGTTTGTGTTTTGGGGCTTTGTTTTCTGGTTTCCTTTTGCCTGGCACGCATCTCACTCCTTCACCAGCTTAAGGTGACTTGTGCACAACCTGCACACACAGCGCCTCGACTCGTCCAAAAAAATGTGCGGCTGCCATGTTAGCAGCTGAAGCGGCTCGCCACGAAAATCTGCAGAGGACCACAAAAGTGCTGTGCCCGCCACGAAGTCTGCACTGTGTCTGCACGAAATCTCATTCAAAAGGTAAAGGACCAGGTGACAGTGCCCCTTCGACCCGAGGGATGTTCGCGTGTGCCCCAGGTAAGGGCAAAACAAAAGAAAAGGTCAGTGACAACTGTGAAAACCGCCTAGCTGTTATATTTCCACCAGCATCCAGGTGGGCGACCGCACGGCTTCCTTCTGGCTCCTTCCCAAGAAGAAATCCGGTCACAACTATGTCTATGTAGCTGCAATCTCTGCCAACGGGTGACCCCACGGCCGCCCCCTGGCTCCAGCTAGAAAGGATCTCTTCTTTATCGTCGTTTTCTTCTAATCGTTTTCTTCTTCTTGCGGTATCATCACATGAGAAAAACATCCTTTCTCACATGCCTGTCAAACATAGTCTCAACTTCACAGTCCTTCTGTTTTGCTTCCTCCTAGCAGACCGCAAACTGCTGCTATAGGTCAAATGGACGACCTGCTTTGTTGGACGACCTGGCTTTCACCTTTTCATGGTCGCTTCGGAACCGTAGCATTGTGACCGGCCGTATGACTTTGTTTTCCAGTACGTGCGTGCTTTGATTTCACAGACGTAGATTTACAGATGGTTATATAATATATTACAATGATGATGGATGAAGGTCGCTGTTGGTCATTTTACGGGTATGTGGAAAGGCCTTTCTTTGGTTGATGGGATGGGGATTACAATGACCACTGCACAGGTTTCGAGAGTCTGGACCATGAACATAAACATAAACCATCACAGGTCATGTTGCTTGCCGCGAAGACAGCATCGTTTCATTGGCGGTCCATTCGGCGATGGAGCAAACCTGGTTTGTTCAGACCATCCATCAACTGGAATAGGTGGTAATCGCCCACCAAAATGGTACCACCGCTTTTGTTCCATAGCCCAAATCACGCTTGGTGTACACATTTGCATCTATTTACATTTTGCACAAAAAGGATTGTCACCGTCGGTTCATCAGCGGAATTTCATTTTTTAATTTTGTATTCCTTTTTGCGAGGAATTCACCTGGCGGTCCTGGCGGTTCCCAAGAGCTAAATCTTGTCGGGTTCTCCTTCAAAGGGCGGGGCCATCCCAATGCAGGTCGCAGAAATAGCTTTCCCAGCATATAGCTTTCCTTTGCCGGGCACTGAATAAGGATTCATTGTTGGCAAGCACAAAGACAGAGGCCAATCATAGATGACTAATAGCTTCACTTCAAATCTATCCAGCAGGATGCAGGCGCGTTTGTTTGGAACCGAACCTCGATGTAGAAATGTATCCGCCATAGATTCGCATGGAAACATGCACTTGGTGCAACTTTTCCTTGAGCATTTCGAGAAAGGTTGAAAACCACGCTTTTCATGTGAAAGAGGTGGCTGAACCTCGCAATGGCGCATGCCTTTGGGCCAGAGCAGGTACCAAAACTGTTGAAAGCAGCGGAGTCGCAGAATGGAGAGATGAGGATAAGTCTGTTGAGAACTGCTGTGGCTTTGGATCCTTTGGACACATTGGGACACCACCAAGAGATCATCTTGAAACGTGGCAAGATAAACATCTCATTGATTTCTTGTGTGCGTGAGAAGACGAGGATATCCAAAGGTGACAGCATGGACGAATACTGGCACCCTTTTGGCAACACTCCTGCCATCAATTTGTTGAAACATCATCAAGACCAGCCAGTTGCTTCCGTGTTGTCAGTCGCGAGTGGGGATCTCCGGCACGTTCTTTACACATGTAGCCAGCTGAAAGCTGCAACAAAGCAGTTCCAAGAGGTTGAATTCTTCCTGAATGACAGTGACCCCCGCGTCGTGGCCCGAAACGTGCTGTTTGCACTGTTGCTGGATGGCGCAACATTTCAACACAGTTCCAAGGATAGCATTGAACTGGTGATTGCCTTGTGGTACTCGGCTAGAATCAGTCAGGAGCATGCCAGCATGCTGCGGGCTGCACTTGACACTCTGTTGGAGAGGATGGTGGTGGGTGCCCCATGGTCATGTGGCAACGTGAAACTAGATGCAGAATCAACCTCATTGGTGTGTGAGACCCTTCAGTACTGGCGCCAGTTGCCTCCCGGGACTGAACCTCAGTGGCTTGAGAAATCCAAAACCTCTTGCATGAAAGTGGACTGTTGTAGGCTGCTTGGCAGGTGGAATTCCTGCACTCAGCAGTACTTCCGGACCAAAACCTTGCAAAAATGTGAGGCGAAGATCAGGAATTTGACATGGAATCCCACCATGTGTCATCCTGAGAAGGCAGTGCATCCAGGCAGCTTGCCATTCCGCGGTTATTTCTTGCAAGATCTGACCCAAGAGAGCAGGCATCTTCCAGACAAAGGGCACCAGGTTTGCTTGGGCCAAAAGATGCTGGGGATGCTTCGCTCAATGCTAGGAGAGGCCCGTGCAAATTCTTGAACACATCACAGAATACACATTATGTTTGCTATGTCATATGCGGTTGTGGGTTAAGAAGTTATAGTCTTTATTCTTTTTGTGTTTTTTCTAGAACCATTTTTGTTTCGTTTTTATTTCGTTTGGGTACAGATATGCATATTTGTTCGATTGCATGCTCGGTCTGACGAGCTCACACAGAGTCTTCAATGGCAAAGATGGCCTGCAGGTCGTTCCACTGAAAGCATCCTTTCAGTTCCATGTTGGGGATGTGATGAAGTTCCAATGTCAGATGCCCTTTGATGTGATTCTCACCTCAAACCTGGCGGACTATAAGGGTTTCCCCATGATCTTGGACCACTTTGCTCGGCTACTGCGAAACGAGAGATCCTCACTGATTACAGAATTCATGAACTGGAGGGAATCTCACTTTCGTCCGACATCGAGCTTGGAAGTGCAAAGGGTAGCTTCCGGGGCTCATTCCTTTTGTGACCGTGCGTTGAGATTCTCTGCTCACTTTCCTTCACCGGAACTACCCTTCTCTAAGATGTTTGATAGTCTCGTCCTTCGTGAACTCCTTCACAATGTGGAATTTATCTCACCGAAGAGCGCATTGAGCTGCGAATTGCAACAGCTCCATTTTGGAATCAACCAGATTTCAGCGACTGGGGTATTTATTGTTTCAGCATGGGAAGAAGATCACATATTGGAGGTGCTGAAGAAATTCAGACCAATTTGCCAAGAGGTCTCATTGGCTCGATGGGGAGTTGCTCGAAAAATGTCCGGCGCATTGTTTCCACAAAGCTACTCAGCAGCAGACTGCTTATGGGCCAGCGGCTATGAACAAACTGTGGAGTGGTCCATTCCCAAGTGTTGCCGTGAGGGTTGTGGTGCTTCGTCGGAGAGCAGCAAGCGCTGTGGAGGCTGCCAGAAGGTTTGGTATTGTAGCGTTAGCTGCCAAAGAGAAGCGTGGCCAACGCACAAACTCTTCTGCAAGTGTGAGCTTAAGGCTTGTGGGTAGAATAAAAGAATGAACGAGGGTCATTAAACTCCTTCATGACAGCAACGCCCCGCAAAGACTGTCTAAAGCCCAGTAAGGCCCTAGTACCTGAATGGCCGCCCAAAATATGAGCAGATGCTGCACTTTTGGATGTTCATTTATATATATATATAATTTTTGGGACAAGTGATTTTGCCCTACGACCCGTTTGGGATAAATACGGTTTTGCCAGACTTTTGGGCCAATCGCAGGCGTGACACATGCACATTGCTGCAGAGGCATGAAGTTTTTAGACGTTGGCTTTTCAAGATCAGGCCGCGTGGTAGTTTTGGTTTGGATCCTGATTTTGAAACATACATGATGGATGCGAAGAAGCTTTAAAGTCCTTTAAATGTAAACATCATGTGATTTTGCAGGAACCATTTTTTGGTCTCCACCGGCTTTCCTTTTTGGGCACTTGACCAAAACCGGTTGCTCAGGCTTTTTTGATGCTTTTTGTGACACATTGCTAGATATTGATTGGCTCGAACAATGACCCTATCAACTGGTCAATCAGGCCGCTGTGCGCCTGCGCGACTAAGGGTTTTGTTTAGCCATGTTTGTCCTGGAAGCGGCCCTGCGCAACCTGCAAGCGGAGCCTTAAAACTCGCGAGTGCAAATGGCCCAGCGGACAAAGTTGCAGCAGATGTCGAAGCTGTCAAACGCGCTGTGGAGCATTGCAATGCCGACCACGCGGATGCAGTATTGGATATGTCGAAAGCTTTCACTGGCTTGACTGATATTGAAGCTGCTACGATGCTGTCAATTGACCGTTTGGGCTTTGACGTGGTGTGCCAAACCCGTGCAGGCTCCAGGCACTGGCATTGAGCCAACACATCACATCACGTCAACATGGAAGGTTTTCGAACAATTCTTTTCGGCGCCCAACTTGTGCACCCGGTGGAATTGGTTTGGTTGTGGAGTTCTGCAAACTGAAAAAGATAGCCTGGTCTGCCCGGTCTTATGTATTGAGTAAGGAACCTTCCAGGTTATATACATTTTTTTCAGCTCAACTGATGTTCGGGATCGAATTCTCCAGGCGCGGCCGGGTGAAGTTTGAGACGCCCCTTGAGAGCCCTACACTCTTACGGGAGGCGGCTCACGAGCGTCTGTGACATTTTGGTCGAGCGCGTTCGAGACAGATTTGGGAAGCCAAGAACCAACTCCTTAGAGTTTATTCCGTTTTGGCCGCCACTTTAGCTTTCAAGTCATTCCTTTGTGTTTGTGAGGCGATGATGACGACCACTCAACTTGCTCGGGAGCTCATAACTACACACACTCTGTTCCTTGAAAATGACTTTGTGGTTTTGATTGTTTGTTTGAATTGTTTGAAATTCTTGTGATTGTGTGCCAGGACAAGTTGACGGGCCAAAAACCGCGCAGTCCCTGAGTAGAAACTGCAATAGAAGACCTGAATTTGCTGACGTTTTGATCAGCGATTTTTCTGCGCTGGCAAGTTGATCCCTTTTCGGCACGGGTAGGAAGGTTCTGTCAAGCCTACGCAAGTAGACTCCTTGTTTTCAAGTTATTATCATGAACACATTTGAGGGCACTTGTACTTGTACTTTGCATAAAGAAACAATTGTTGTTTGTGCTTGCCAAGCTTGTGCAGCTACCTCTATGTTACTGTACCATTTTCAAGTCTTGCTTCAGGATGATGTCCTGACACGCTTGCGCTTTGCCAGCAGCACAAAGCAGGTTGCTATCCTGAAGACTCCACTGTGCTCTAGGATGACCTGCACGCTAAAAATCCTTTGTGTGAGTATGTTTGAATACACTTTTCCTGCAGCCTTCTACCAAGTATAGAATGCATTTGCAGTTAATTTGTGTTTTCACAGGCGTTCAGTGAACGCAAGACCCTGCTGCATTTGCACAAATCATTGCAGAGTTTCTCGCCCTTCTTCGAGGTCCATCAAGTCGAACTGTCTAGTGAAGCATCAGACCTGTCTGGTCCTCCAGCCATGGCGTTGTTAGACTGGCCTCGACACATGCCTGCGGATGTGTGGCACTTGGAACATGTGAGCCCGCAAGGAATCCCGCTGGAACCGAGATCCGTGTCGAATTCAGATTCGCCCCAAGTCACTGATAATATTCTAACTCAGCCGCGTGAGCAGCCGCTTTGGCGGCCTCAAAGGCGGCTCGGACCAAAGGCATAGAGGTCTGGACAGAAACGACTTCCAATGCTAGAATTTTGGATCCCTGGTCTTTGTATAAGGGGTATGGTTCCCTCTTGTTTCAGAGGCAAATGCTGCCCCTCAACCCGTGGGTTCTTTTCCAGTTCCTGTCAGTCTCAGGTTTTGGCACCAGGCGTTGAGCTCTTAGACGAACGGACCCACAGTAGACCTGTGGACCGGCTCGACAGCGCGCCGCACTCTCAGGCCTTGCACTTCTACGATGCCGCTACTGCCTTCCGCGTGGGGGCCCGCCGCCCAGTTGGACGTTTCTGTGCCAGGCTTTTGGCATGCTTCTGTGGCGAGAGAGCCTTTTCTTTGGCAGATCAATCCACCTCCCTTGCAAATTTGAAGTGAATACAGGCGACTGATCGGCAGATGCGAAATGCTTTGACCCAGCAGCTCATGGGTCGGCGGCTTACGTTCTGGTCCGCAAACACTGCCCGGGAAGGATCTGGCGTCATTGTCGCTGAGTCATGTCATGTCCACATCAGAATCCAAAGATATTTGCTCCCTGTTGACGCAGAACCATGTCCTTCAGTCCAGTTTTTTGATTTCCCAGCCCAGGAATCAAGATGACTTTGCGCAGAAGACGTTTGCCTCCGGCCCACGTTTGGCATGTTTGTACCTATATATATATATAATTGTATACCTTGATTTCGTTCGCTGACCCAGTGGCCAGGAGGTGGTTCATTCACTGGCGCAATCGTTGAGGGCCTTGGTGGGCCTGAAGGAATTAGAGGCCGAACATCTTGACGTCGAATTTGCTCGGCACTTGTGATTGTGGACCCGTCCATTCTGTTCTTTTTCCTTCTTGAGCCACTGCCGGCGCACCCTTTTGTAGCGCCTTCTTCGTGACGCCCCAGCGTTTTCCCCCGAGATGATCAGGTTGACATCAGTTTCACCTCTGTTGGAGACCATGGAGCTTGCCACTTGGCCCAGGCACCGCGCCGAAGGGGCTCCTGGCATCGCTAGTAACAAGGTGAGAATAGATAGGACGAACATGTCATCGTCTCGTTGGACGAACGCTGGGAGCGAATCAGTTAAGAGGTTTACTGATCTGCCTGGGCCGAAGGGGAACCATGGTTCCTTTCGGTTCCTTTCCATGCGGGTGACCTGTGAATCAGGGCATCGGCACCTTGCAACGCCTACAGAGCCTTGAGCTGCTGCTGGCAGGTGTGACAGGGAGGGGGGGCGCGCTGGATATTTTCACGTCCGCACGTGCATTTTTGAATACAGCTAAACTGTGCAGAGATACAGGATTTGCACTCACACCTTCAACAGCTACCTGTTTCTGCAGGATTATTTGGCACAAACTGGAAAGCAGACTCAGCACACATCCAAGCAAAGCCAATGAAAATCCTTGGCACCCCGTGATGCCGGTACTGTACCAGGGACTGCTGGCAAGTCCACTTCAGAAGAACATGGCAATGAAGTCGGCAAGTCTTCGATGCAGACACTATCTGGACTCACTCTTCGATGGGTCAAAAAAGCTTAATGCTTCCCCAAACCAAACCGTTTCCTGTTGGGGTTCTCTCTTAGGAGAAAAACACTCGCCACCAGTCTCTGTCCGTGTCCGGGTGTTGTCCTCCTTTGTCCTTTTCTTGTCCTCCTCTCGTTCTGCTGGTGGCTGTCCTTTAGCCACACTTGCAAACTTTGTGTGCTCCTCTTGCCGTCCCTCTGTCCTCTGGCCACGCTTGCAAAACGCCGTGTCCTCCTCCTGTCCTCTTGGTGTCCTGCTGGCGCACCCTGTGTCCTCCTCTTGTTCCCCAATCAGTGTAAGAAAGAAATGACTGTCTATGATAGCTGTGGCCGCGCCGTGGGCTTTCTTTTCCACCCTGTCCGCTACGCGCGTTGTCCTTGTCCAGTCTTGGTGGTCTGCTTGGCAGCCCGCCTTGTGCAAAACTGTCCTGTTTGCCCACATTGTTGGCCCTTTTACCACCGCCTTGTCCAGGCAGTATCCCCTCCTTGGCCACGCTGCTTTTCCTTTCTCCACCGCCTGTCCGGGTATGTTTTCGTGTGGCTATGAATGAATGCAACAGTGGTGCAGCGTTTGATATTTGATATCATCGTCGGATTTTCTGATGACATACATACCCCTTCGTTTTGGCACATGTGACCCAGGAATCATAACTGTTGTTTTCAAACAATGCCATTCCTAAACAGCTGGAAACTAGTGTATATATATATATAAAGGAATGTATTACAATTGCAGTTACAGACGTTACCACCAACATTGGAGTTCAAGGAGTTGATCCCCAAAAAACATGCCGAAACTGTTTGGGGTCTATTTTGGCATAGTCTTTATGCTTTGGCTTGGTGGGCTGAGGTTCAGACTAGCTTTCTGGTGCTTTTCCCATCCAGGCATCCCCAGGCTGCTCTTCGACCCTCTCCCTTCTGCGCCAGGAGCTGGGCTTGGACACAGCGGCTGCGAGAAGTTTGCCAAGGAGCGGAAAGGGCTCCTGGGTAAACTTTTTTGGGCATCTGGATGTGTTCAGAGGTGTTTTTTTTCCTTTGCCCTTTTTGACCATCCAGATGGCCATTCTGGGCATATTTGGTTGTTGGGAGGATAGTTACGCTAGTTTGTGCTCCTAGCAGCAACCATATGTTGTGACCGTATTTGTTGCTTCGCGCTGTACCGATTATTCAGGAGGTTGCGGAAAATGTCTTTCCCATAGCGGGTCCCAGGTTTCCTTGAGTTTGCGGTAGATTCCCTAAAGTTACTTGTCCACCGTTGGTGTCGGGGGCAGCAAGATGCAAACTTCTGATTTTGCCAGTCTGGCCGTGAGAAACGGTCCAAATCAGCAGTTCCTCACAAGGACAAGAGATTTTGGTGCTGAGCATCGTGTAGGTTGGATGGTAGAAATGTTGTTGAGACAAATGGCATGTGGCTTTTGTGATTACTGTAGTT